ACTTCAACCAGGAGGAACCTGGCGCCCTCCAGATGTTCTTGACTATGTCCCCCAACCACGCGGCTGCGGATCAAGGCGGGGAGGGCTGATGGGACAGTACGACTAGAGAGCACCCAAGGGGGCCAGTTTGACTGGAACAGCTTCCCTTGGCTGAAACTAGGAGGCTTGAGAGCAGAGAGATGGGCCACTGGGGGAGGGAATGGCAAGGGGGGGAGGTTTCAGACCTTTCCACTTGCTAGTGTTTGGGGTCTCCCGCCAAAACTACTTTCTAAACCTGTTTCCCAGGAGAAGGTGTTAGTTGCAACCACTTTTGAAAAGTGTATTTAAAGAAAAGGTTGATGGGTGTCTAATATATGTTACCATGGTTCCACCAGTTCCACCCACTTTGAATTATCCCACTCACCCACCCATCCCACTTCTTCATGGCTGTTTAGTGGCAGACCTAATTCTGCACATCATCTGTCCACCAGCAAGTCCTAAGTCATGGGTGGAGACCTTGTGGCCATCCAGATGAGGCTAGACTTCAACTGCCATCAGCGTCATTATTGGCTTTGCTGGCTGAGGCATGGTAGGAACAACAACATTGGGAGCGCCTTGAGTTCATCATCTGCCTTAAATCAATGTAACTGACTTTGCAGTGGTTAACTCTTCTCATTCCCCTCTTTGACATCTTTTCTTCAGTTTTGAAGGTTCTATTGTGAGATAATGAGGGCAGGAACTTTCTTTCTCCACTCTGTAAAATTGCAAGTATGTTGATCATGCTAGTGAAATAATAATGGTAATAATTTGTTTGTTTGCTTGCTTGCTTATTTGTTTATTTAAAATACTTTTACTCCAGCTTTCTCCCAAAAAATGACCAAGTCGGCTTGCATCATTAAAAACACAATATTAAAATCTGATAACAGTAAATTACTCAAATATTATAGAAGAATTAATAACATATTTAAAATGTTAGGTAGAAACGTTATTAAAAAGAGACTTAGAAGCAACAAAATATATACCATCACATTTATTGTCTCCTACACAATTGATTCCTAACAGGAGAGGCCTGTTAGGAAAGAAATGTCTTCATCTGCTTGCAGAGATATAGCAAAGATGGGGCCATCCTGGCCTCCTGTGGGAGAGAGTTCCAGGGTGGGAGCAGTGACAGAGAAGGCCCTATCCCTTGGTTGGGTCTTGATGATGTCATCTTCAATTTGCTATCTTCCTATGTTTTCTGTTCGTGCTTTGGTTCTGCTTTCTTACAAGAGAACATCCATTGAGGGAAAAACAGCAGCACAATGCTTTTTGTGTGAGCTGTTGATACACTCAACCTAGAAGCACCTCAGCTGTTCTTAGGTGGATGACCCTGCCTCAAGGCATCTGTTTGGCTTTTGTAGTTTCTGCTAAAACTATGAGATTAAGCATCTACCTATATCCAAACTACTGTCTTGCATATAACCTGTTATGCCTTTGGCCTTCCTAGAAATTAATGAATCTTCCTGGTTTCTGACTAGACAAAATGGCCTCGTTCCATAAAGCCACCTTATTTCAGTCCATTAAACAACGCAATGCTAAAGTTTACCACCAAAACTAATTTATTAAAGCACTTTCAGTAAATAAGATGAATTTAGTTACTGGCAATTTCCACAGTGCTGATTCACAGTTCCCCCTGAAAACAACTCCCTTAAGGGCAAGAATAGAATTCATTGACGTGTATACAATTAAAATGGGATGCTCATTTGTATAATTAATTTAGGTTTTGCAGGCCATTTTCTATGGGGTCACCTTGCTTGTTGAAGCGTTTGTACTAATGAAGAAACAACGAATTGCTAAGTCCATGTTTCCCTTCAGAGATTTACTCTTTGGTGCCCTGGCTTTTCCTATATCTACGGTAAGTTGCAAATAAACATGATTATTATTCTAAGTTGTATTGCTCATGAAATATGGATAAATGCTTCATGTAAACAACTTTTCTAAAAAGTAATTATTTTATTCTTAAGATGATGATGATGATTGCTGAAGGTATAGCTTAGTACTGCTTTGAGCTTAAATCATAAATCATACTAGGTAATTAAGGAAAAATGATTTATTGTATGCTAACAATCATGCAGATAACCTTGAGATAGATTCCTGGTACCTCTGGATAGGACTCTGAAAAATTCCTGCCAGAAATCCCAGAGAACTGCTTCCTGTTGGAGGAAAAAATATTGAGCAAGACGAGCTTCATACTCAGGTTGGAAAAGTTACTTTTCTGAACTACAGCTACCCAGATCCTACATCCAACATAAATGGGTGATACACATAGAAAGAGAAAGAGAAAGAGAGGGACAGGGGAGAAGGAGAATTTCTACTGCCTTGCATACACTTCTTGTCGTCTTGTCCTTGGCTGGAACAACTTTTCTAAACTCTGGTCTGTTGTGCTATACAGCACATTCCTATGTCCCAGTACCCTATTACATAGTGACTTCCAGAAAAGAACCTTCTGGACCAGCCTTCTTTTGGCAATGACCCACTTAGGAGCTCTCCTCAGGTTCCAAGGTTTCACTGTCAAACAAGGATACAACATAAAGAATTGAGCAGAAAATCCTCACATTTTCCAATCTGTGGCCCCCTTCAAATGTGCTAGGGGTCCCCAGGGGCCTATATGACCCTGCTGAGAATGGCTGCTTTGTCTTAAAACGGGCAGCCAAATTGTGTATGTATGACTATGTGTTCTACGGCAGTGGTCCCCAACCTTTTTGACACTGCGAACCAGTTTGGGGAGGATGGGGTCCGTGCACAGAGGGGCAGAGCACCCCCCTGTGCTCACACGAAGGGGTGTTGCTTGCTGGAAGGGGAAGGAGCTCTTTTGCGGTACGTGCACACTCACGTGCATGCGTGAAGGTGCTGTGTGGGTGGGCGTGCAGGGGGAGTGCATGCAGGAGGTGGAAGATCTGTCTCCGCAGCCCAGTCCAGCCAAGGCCACGGACCGGCACCAGGCCACGGAGCAGGGGTTGGGGACCCCTGTTCTGCGGTATGTTGTCCATAAAGTGTGGCTTCCCATTTCATTAGGCAGGATGAACTGGTCGTTTTAAGTGGCATTTGCTACATACAAGTCAGTTGGAAAAGAGAAATGGATTTTAAACAGCCTTTCCCAGCCCCCTGTGCTTCCATGTTGCCATCAGCTAGGGTGGAGGATGTTGTCCCTCCACCAGCGTTGAATAAAAATTCAAATGTCAGCTCATTCAGCTCTTGTACATGGAGCACCATCCTGTAACTTCAAGCTGCAATGTATCTTAGTCCATCTTTGCCATTAAAGGAGCACATGAACAACCCTAGAGGTGCACAGGATTTCTTGGCCTGACAGTGAAACTCCAGCAGAAAGCTGGAAGTGCACCTGCACTTACAAATCCATTTTTCACTGCATAATGAACACTGTGGACCAAACTAGACCACGCATTAGTAATGTGTCTGGTCCTTTCTCTGAATCAGAGCTTGGAAACATAAGTTATTTGAACTATAACTCCCAGAATTTACCAAACCAGCATGACCAATGCTAGTTGTAAATGACATTCCAAGGTCAGTTCCAAATTCCAAACTTGTCCTTACAAACATGAATTTGGGTGAAAATAAAATGCATCTTAATTGGGGTCATTTTGTTGTTTGAAACCATCCTTTGTCGTTGTGTATGGATTTAACCTGTGCCCCATTTGTGCATTTTTATACTTATAGTGTATAATAATTTTTGGTCCATCTAAAGCTCTGTAGCACATTAGATGTCAATGCCAGCTTGAATATGTGAAACTAAGAAGCAAATTAATCCAGTTAGAATTAAGATAGCAAGGAACCAAAAAATAGTGGAGGATGGCATTTCAGATGTGGTTTCCATCCACCCCACTCCCAGCCATACAGGAAACTCCTGTGCAAACCTTAGAGCTAAAGGGCTAAATGCAGGGAGGGGGAATTTCAGTATATAGGCAATGCATACTAATTTTAGTAGAGAACATCTTTTCTCAGATCCTGTGCTGCCAGTGTGCTCTAATGTGGACCGCTCCTGCTCAAAAAGGAAAAAACAAAGCCAACCAAATACAATTGGTATTGGCATAAAGATCTTGCATTAAAATCCACTTGTGATAAATGCTTCTTCAGCAGATAAGACCTCCTTGTCCCTGATAAGTGTGGATTGCCAGTTGCTCTGAGTAAAATGAGTAGCAGGTGAAAATAGGAAGTTGCCTTATATTGAATTAGACTTTTGGTCCATCCATCATGTTATTGTTGGCACTAATTAGCAGTAGCTCTCTGGGATTTCAAGCAGGGGATTCTTCTGTTCCTTCCTGATGGTTGAACTTGGATCCTTCTTTATGTGTTCTACCACTAAGTTGCAACTTTCTCACTAAGTCTGATTTAAATGTAATCATGGGACTATAGCTACTTCCCTTTGATTGGGGTTATTGTTTGTATCCTATTCATTGTATTATTGGCTTAGGATGGGGAATGGAATGATGGACCATTACTTGGCTGAAGTATGTATACTACACTTCCTTGCTAGGATCTGTTCCTGGCCTTTCCAGGATAAAAAAAGAGGCAGGCAACTTGTGGCCCTTCAGATATTGTTGGACCAAAGCATTCATCTCCCATTGTTATTGGCTGTGCTGGCCAGGGTTGATGGGAGTTGACAATCCAGTAGGATCTGGAGGACCAGAAGATTCCTGTCTCTAAGTTTAAAAGATTTGAAACAGCACATCTTTAAAAAAAAATCCCACATTCACAAACTGGAGGCTGTTTGAAGAAGTAAATTTCCTGTCTTTTAAAATGGGAGTTTAAATATACATACACTAGACACAAACTCTAGCAAAAACTTCCCTCGTGTCAAATTGTCCAGTGCTAGAGATTTCCAGAAGATGAGCATCTGATCTGCACTGGGAGAAGACATGAGCAAGAACATCTTGGAGGTGGCTGTAGTTCCTCTATGCCAAAATATTTTGAAGGGCTGTTTCGGTCTTAACAAAATGGTGAAGCAAAGATGTGAATAGTTCAAAACATGCAGACTAGAAAGCTATGTTCTAATTTCCAGACTTTCCTTTAGTTAGGTGAGCTGAGGAAGAAAAAGCTATATTGGACCAAAAGCTCTATGGACATGTTGTGTGCATGTTTTCCAAAAGATGCCCCCTGGCTTTTTAATTTTTTTAAAGGGATAGGTTGGAGTTAGCAAAGAGTGTCACTGCAAACCAAGGTCAAAATAATCCATACTATGGGAAAGAAAAACAGTAAAGAAAGATAGGAACAAAAATCTACTCATCTGAAATGTGGTGTTGGAGGAGAGCCATACAGATATGAAAAACAGAAAGACAGACAGAAAAGAGGGTGCTCAATCAAAAAGTCAAGCCTGAAATCTCACTAAAGCAAAAATAAGTAACCTGAGCATATCCTACCATACACATATATTGGAAATACAGAAGTGACCAGAATAGACTATATTACAGGGAAAAGTGGGATGGAGCAGTAGGAAAAGAGGAATCTCTAACATGAGATGGATTAACTCAATAGAGGAAGCCTCACTTAATTTGCAAGATCTGAACAGAACTTCATGGAAAAGACAATATTGTTATGAAGAGGAGGCAATAAGAAGAGAGAACAACCCTTGCTGTTGGTTTGCAAGTTCTGAGCAGATCTGTTAATGACAGGACATTTTGGAAGTCAGTAACTCATATAGTCACCACACATCAGAAGTGACTTGATGGCACATAGCATCTTTGGCCTTTTTTTCTTAATTATCAAACAATGGTATAATGACAAGATAGGTAAAAGAAGCATCAAAGCTCTGTAAGACTATCCACAGAAACAAAGCAAAAACCATGAATTTCACAGCTTAAATGGGCGAATATCTGAATATTTATTCTCTATTTTTTAATAATATAAAAATGTTTTATATCAGAAATAGAAACTCTTTTTAATGTCTGTTTGGCCACAAAGGAGTTAAAGAGTTCTCCTCTGGAGAGTCATTTAATTTGATCCTGATTGGCAGGGTCAGAAGTTCAGATTTCCCTTCCTCCTCTGAAGCTTGCAACAATGTTTATGCTTGGAATGTTCATGCTGATCAGAAAGTCAAAGTTTTCCCCCTTTGAAATTACTTTTCTCAGATTCAGTTTCACACACATACACCAAAGCTTTGTTGTTGTTTAGTCGTTAAGTCATGACCCCATGGACCAGAGCATGCCAAGCCCTCTTGTCTTCCACTGCCTCCCAGAGTTGTGTCAAATTCATGTTGGTAGCTTTGGTGACACTGTCCATCCATCTCGTCCTCTGTTGTCCCCTTCTCCTCTTGCCTTCACACTTTGCTAACATCAGGGGATTTTCCAGGGAGTCTTCTCTTCTCATGAGATGGCCAAAGTATTGGAGCCTCAGCTTCAGGATCTATCTTTCCAGTGAACACTCAGGGTTGATTTCCTTCAAATGGATAGGTTTATTCTTTTTTGCAGTACAGGAGACTCTCAGGAGTCTCCTCTAGCACCACAATTCAAAAGCATCAATTCTTCGGTGGTCA